TACCGCTAAAATCCAGTACTTTCACGCGCGTATGATGGATTATTTGGGAGACTTTTGCAAACGATCGGGGTTACTTCGTTTCCATCTAACATTCGACGGAAAGAAAAAAATAACAATTATAAATCGAGTTATTTACAACGAGGAAGCGAGAGGATGAATTGTTCCCACAAGTCGACTCGAACGAATGAAGTCGAGCGCTCGCCGCGTATATTTCTCGAGTATATGTACCATATTTCTCCGCGGGCAATTGAATTTTTTTCCTCCGCACGTGATATGCCGAGCACGTAAAAGTCGGTAATAAAGAAAAGAACTTTTCCTGCTTTCGCTTTTGGATGATTAATCTGATGTCGCGACGGTGCGACGGTTGCGCGAGAATTTCACGCGACAGCGCAATTGACTTTGCGTAAACCGCGCGATAAGTTTGCGCGAGCATTGGCGCGAATTATATTTTGGAGTGACGAATTGCGGCGCGTAATTGAACGGAATTTTCGCGGTCGCGGGCGCGTTTCCCTGTCCCAGCCGTTCAAACTCTTTCAAACGTGAACTACAGCGCGATTAGCGCCGAAATTAATAAAAAGGGGCCGGCGTGTGCTACGCGCAATTAAATTTGTTGTAATTAGTTGGACGAGCCGCTGAGCGGGGCGGGGGGGGGGGGGGGGGGGGGACAATTCGGCGTTGGAAGCCGCTTAGCGCTAACAAAGTGTGTAGCATCGACCGAGAGTCCGATGAAAAAAATAGAAAAAAGGAAAGTGCGGGGGTATGGTATCGCTATGTATGGCGCAGAGTTCAAAGTCGACGCTCAAATCGATATCGAGTGTGGAGGTTACGTTGATGATTGTCGGCATATATATCGATCGGCCAACTTGTATACCTAAATTTTTTCCTCCGGTGCAGATATCGTAATATTTATTTATTATTATTCGTGTATCTGTTTTAGGGAATATCATCGGTTCGAAAACTTCTTGACGGGATTGTCTTTCAATTTGCATCGATGCAAATGCAAACATACCCCTTGCGAAGGATTTGTAGTCTGTTTTCAATTGCTTGCTTCACATGATTTGACATTGTACCTGTGTATGATGGTAAATCTATGTGGATGTTTATTGTAGCAGATCAATTGTTGCTCTATTCTTGTATTGTTTTATATAATTATTCCATTACTGAACCACTTTACGAATTTGAGGTATAACAAATAGAATTACATTGAATAGATCGAGTATATTACATATCGCACGATTATGGAATGATATAATTTGATAACTCATTACAATATTGACAAAAGTTTATATTGAAAATATTAATCGAGATAATATGAGTCTACTCGGCGCGATATTTGCCATTACGTTAAATTTATTATAATGAGCATCACATTATGTTCGAATAACAGTGACTCTTATACCAAATATCAATCAAATAAGTTAGAGCTCGGTTAAAAGCATTGTTTTATGATCTAAGTTCACGTGTTTCAGCAAAAATTCGTTGACGGCATTAGTATTTTTGGCTAATAATCAAAAATTGTACAATAATAAAAAATAAAAAAAAATAGAAATTTAAGATGAGTGTAGGTAAAATGTAGAACATATCAATGGACATCGTGACGACAGACTATCGAGTACACCGTCTCGCCAATTCACGTCCGTCTTGCACCCAAGGAAAGTGGAAGAAAGTCAAATTACGCGAGACTAATCGGCCGGTAAGCGGGCGCAAGTAGAAGACGCGGGAGAATTGAGGCACGTCCCATCGGGGGAAGTCCTCCAAGGGCCCGCAGCTGCGCACTTGTAGCACTTCGCAACTGCTGCTCTCGATTTTCTAATGGAATCCGATTTCCCGCGGCCCTATGCAATGTTTGCCCCACCGACGGTTAGCCTTTTCTCCTCTATCTTCTGCCATCGCGTTGCGCGTTCGGGTGTCGTTTGCTCTCTCAGTGTCAATTGACCGATGGCCGCAGCGCTTTGAAAAAGGAAAAAAAGAGACGTTCGAGCACGATTAGACCGTGTAAAATTTCGTGCGAAGTTGCCGACAACGCTTGGAACCCGCGAATCAAGCGCAACTTGGCTTTCTCGTATCCTTAAAATGGCTTCATTACTGTAAATTTTCGGCGTGGCGCTCGGTCGACTAGACTCGCGCGCGCGCAAACGTGCATAAATACCAGAGGCGCGCTTGCGCGCACTGTATAGTCTCGCGGCATGCATCAGGGCTCGCCTATACGCGTGTACGCAAAGCTGTAGCGCGAGTTATCAACGCGTGATCCTCCGTTCGGCTCTCTCACTCGCACGTGAACCAAAGGAAGAAAAGATAATTGATCATGCGTCACGAAAGGTTTTCTCCGTTTGCCAATTACCACGGCTTATTTTTCGCATAGCAGGCGTTTCTTGCTATTTTTTATTCTCGGCGCAGACATGTCTATAGTCTCCGATACGTTACTGTTCACGCTGTCGAAGATCGCCAATTGCGCAATTCCGTTTCGGCCTTCGCGGGGTCTTCCAATTTTCACCGTAGTCGATCATCGACAGTCGCAATCTAAAGGAAGAAAAGATGAAGAAAAAAAAGAAATTAAAAAAAAAAAAAAAAAGAAACGTCGAATGTTAGTGCACGAAGAGGAAAAAAAAGACGATCCGTTTACGTAATCAATGCGAAGCAGTGCAGTTTCCGGGTCCACTCTTTCCCTCTCTTTAGAGGCGCGCGCGAACAATAGCTGCCGTGTACAGGCATGTATAGAGATACATAGGTGCAGCAACGCAGCTCCCCATTGAAGGCGCGGTCCATTCATGCAGCTAGTCCGCGCGGTTTCAGTGCACACTTCATTAAGCCGCCTGCGCTCACCGCGCCGCACGACACGTCTCACCCTACCGATAGCACTCTTTCACTCATACTCCATCATAACCTTTGAGTCGTCGAATCGATTAAGATATCACAAGAATATTTATTTCTTTTTTTGTAATCAGTTTGGAAGTTTTCTTGCCAAAGGATTATTGAATACTTTTTAGAATCTTCGATCGGAATTATTATCTGGAAATATTGATATTTACTTACGTTCTACGCTTTGCGATAAAAATATAGACGTTTCTATTCATATTAAATTCATGTAGGCTTTTTCGATAGTTGTTCGATGTTTCGATAGTTCAGTGAATAATTATGTTATTTCATTCCCTCGAATATCTTCAAAGCGAAAAAAAGACATTTATACGTCGAAAACTTCAAGAACCTGATTTAACGAGTTACCGGAACAAAAATATTGAAAAAATTTTCTGGATATCGATATTTATCAGTCCTGCATGTACGTGACAGCTCAGAAATTTGTTCTGAATGTCAACTTTACCTACGTAAATACAATATAAATCATCGAATTTAATGTAATTGTTAAATCCATCGTTAATGTACACATAATGCAGTGCAAATAATTACTTACTAGATACAGTAATACATCGCAAATTATTCGAATAAATTTAGGATGAACCGATGAATCTGCTATTTATAAATGAACATTTTATTCACTTGTATATCACGTTAGTCGTGATCAAAATATTCTTATACAGTGGTAGCAGTCAATATGATAATTGATCGATTAAAAAAAATGATAACACTTTGACCATCTTTTACGTAAATCCTGATAATATAATAGGATACTTTTAGGTTCGACGTGACGCGCAAATGGAGCCGGTAATTTTCAGCTGAAAGGGTCAACTAACGTTGAATCGAGCAATTATTATATAATTGATTGGAAACGAAAGCAAAGCGATTAAACGAAAACGCCTCATCGGGACTAGCCGCCACCAAATTCGCACTCGTATCATTGTATTTTCACGCTTTCCCGGCTGCAAATCAGCGCGGAAGTCTAATGCGGCATTTCCATTCGATTCAAGTATTACATTGGTATTGACTTTGTCCCTTATCGCGTGTACACATGACGTTTGCACTGCGGGTTCTCTGCGAAGGGGCAGTTGACCCTGTGCTTTTTGTCAGTTATAAAGGAAAAAAAAGAAAAGAAAAGAAAAGCGAATTTCGTCTTTTCGAAGCGAAGATCGTAGAGGCTCCGCATTTACGATAAATTGTCGAAAAGGGGAAGGCGCGTCATCGTTGAACCCTCTTTTTTTTTCCTTTCCCCGAAAATCATGTGCCATATTCTCTGCGTTTGTCTGATCGGCGCAGCGTAATTAGTGGGTAAACAGTTTCATTGAAGCACCGTGAATGCCGTCGTGCCTATTGATTTTATTTTCGAATGCCCAACGCTGCGCGTGAAAAATGCAACGACGACAGGGCATTTGCATGCTCTATTTCAATGTTGCCGAGGGCCACGTGATAGCAGGAGCATTTCTTACGGGGGCAGCTCGGAGATGAAGAAGAAGCAAGGCGCAGCACAGGGCTAAATCGTCCGCGTAAAAAATGAATTTCGCTTTCAACTATTGATGTCGACGAAGCTCGCTCGACCGTTGGATTACGTAATCCTGCAGAGAATATTGTATTTTTGTCAGCTGTGTATCTTTTACTCGAATTCACGAACAGAGAAAAAAGCGTAGGAAACGAAAGTGTTTCATGAAAGAGGATCGCAATCGAGTAAACAGACACTGAAGAAATCAATGTTCGGATGAAATTGAAGCGAGTTATATCTGTTCGCTATTCAATATAACAAATCTGATTTCAATATTAATTGACTGAATTATTTCTTTATAGCTGCTTTCCGATGGTATGAGCAAATTTGATTGTTCAATTAACGAGTGACTATAACGTGCTGATCAATAATGTCATCATAAAATTTTTAATTAAACAATTTTTCATTCAATTATATAGCGGCTACCTGTTTAAGAAAAAGAACTGATGGATACAATTGTGCAATAATTACTAAATTGTGTTCGTCAATAGTTGACAGTTCGATCAGTTCGCGTGCAATTATGAAAATAACATAAAATACAAAGAAATCATTGAATGCAATACACCCATCGAAAATAAAAGAGGAATTCGAAGCTGGATATCGATCTAAAGTCTCAACACACTAGACGTACCAAGTCGCAAGGTCGCCACGAGGACGATTAGCAAGGGCACGATGCAGTGGCGATGACGCATCCTCGTGCAATCACGCACTTGAATCACTTGTCCGAACGAGCTGGGTCGTCGAGGGATAGGCGAACGAGGATTTAAAAAAGAAGTACGAAAGAAGACAATCACCGGCCGCACATGTGTGTATGCCGTTTCGCGCGAGTCGTCGCCAACAAGTCGAACGTCTGCAGTGAAGGAAAGCCGTGGCTCGACTGCCGCGTGCGCCGCCCGACACACGGAACATCGCACCGTGCGAAAGCCACCCCTCCCTCCCTGCCTGCTCGGATGCGCGCTTTTTCCATCGACTCGCTGTCTCCTTCGTCTCGCCAATGTCTCTATGCTGGATTAAGAGGCTTTTATTCGCTTTTCGTTTGCTGGCTTGCTCTAGGCCACTTTGGGCGGAAGCCTTAATTTTTCATTGCTATAAGGGTTTTAAATATTGTTTCTAGTATTCACTTAGAAAGCAACATCTACAATATTACTGTCAAAATTATCGTTTGCTTTTATTTTTAACCAATCCATAGCAAGCTTTGTACTCGGTTGCATTAACATTTTGAACGTTATAAAAAGATTATCTGCGTTGTAATCCAGTTCTATAACAATCTGAAAAATTTTAAGAATGTAATCCAGTTACAAGTATCATGCTTTGAGTGGCATCATCAACAATTTACAAATCAATTGTAGATATGCAAATTCATGTAAGCTCAATCGTAAAAATCGAAAGAATATTACGGAGCAATGAATGTCATTGGTTTGCTTGAACTAGTTGCAGTTCAGTATGGAAAACCCAGACAAGAAACGTTCAACCCAAGTATTAGCCTATATCATCAATATTTTTCAGAGTATTAGGTAAAGAAAATCTGCAAATATTCGTAGGACAAAGTATAAAAATGATCAGTTGGCAAAGTACTCGGTGCATCTGTTGTTCAGATGGAAGTGTATAGACATGCAAAGAATACGGTGCATAGATACAGCTGTGGCTATGGAAAAAGACCCATCGAACGTAGACACAAGAAGAAAAGGTTTTGTGCAACGTCACGGAATCTGCGACATCACTGATTAAAGAACGTTGGTAACATATCGTACATCGTTCTCTCTTCTGACAATTTATAGTGGATATTAAAGAAAAGTCATCCCGGTACGCCAAGCCTGCGATTATTATAGTGTACTCACATGATTTTTCATAAGCACACAAGCTTCGCATGTAAAGAAAATCCCAAGGAAAAGAATGTCGATAATCGGCGATATGTTCCGTAGTGGAAGTAAACGAATCGAGTGATGGAACTGATGGATGCGAGAACATACCGCTAACCCTTAGCAGATATATTCAATGAATATTGGTTCCGGTTACAAAGAAAATTGGCTGCGAGGTCACTTTACCATTTAAATTACAGTCGGATTCCTAAAAGATTTTTCGACGAGCACCAGCCGAGGAGCTTTCTTTTGGTCCTACTTTCTTGTGTGCCTTCTAATGTACATTTCTTCATAAGTTTAAAACTGATATTTCGCATCAGTTCAATCGTCGCGTAAAGTTGTGGTTTGAAGTAATTCATTGTAAAACGGCGTCACCAGCAGCAATAATTCTTAAAACACTTTTAAAATCCGTATCATTATTCCGCAGGATGTTTTTCTTTTATGCCGCCTTTAACTGTTCCTCGCCTTTACAACATTTGATTGATCGTTGACCAAAAGATGGACGTCGGTGACGAATTCATCGACGAGCACGTCAGCTACTCATGTATGACTACTTGACGAATAATGAAGTGTGAGCATGCTCATTCTTAACACACGTGCATTATCGATGGGTGGCCATTTTAAATGAGGCTTCTAGTCAGCAGCTGTGAGTACTTGAACACGGCGAATTGTACGCTGCGCGATTCACTCTGTTCTACTTCGAAAAGTTGTGTGCGTTGAATCCCTAAGAAGCGCTGATGAGATTGCGCCTTCACTATAACGCCTTGATAAACTGCTGTACTATATCCTTCTCCTGCACGGGTGTTGGCGATTGCAACAAGCCGACTAATTGCCAGGTACGTAAATTGACGCGAGCACGACATTAATATCACAACAATGAGTTTTTCTCTCAAATTCATTGCAGATCAATTCTTTTTTTTATTTTCGGATAATAAAGTAGCATGATGATAGGCTGCACAAATAACGTCTTGATAAAATACTTTATTTATACTTTATGCATACGCTCTTTACAAAATACTTGACACATCTGCTATTTAGTTTAATGCTAGGTTCGGGTAATGCACTAAGATATATATCTAGCGCAGCTGTCGAGAGGCAAAGAAACAAGGTAGCATATAGATGAATCCGTAGAGATGTTGCATTTTAATAATATACATCAGCTTTGATCGAAGTGAATTTAAAAGCTCTTATCTTGATTTTTTTTATCAAAGTCATGCCATATTATAGGTTGAAATATTAACGGTCAAGTACTATTGTAAAGCTCGTTATAGTGTTCGACTAGGGTGATCTATTAGTAGCGAAATATTCTTTTTTTTTAACTTCAAATGATTCTTTAATACATTGAGTATAATTAAAAATAAAATTGTATCTGGAATAAAATATTTTTGTTGTAAGTTTACATTTTATGTTTTACCTATTTAAAAATGTATTCTGTCGTAATAATATTTAAAGTATGAAAATTGTCTGAAGATAGCCAACTACTAGTGCCTTGATCCTATAGCTTGATCATTAAGTTAATCTATCAAATTGTATAAAATTGCAATTGTATAGTCATTTTCGATTTATTACGTTTTTGCACTGTATTACAAATACCAAAAGATACATGGTTTGATTTTAAAAACATTATTATTTCCTAAAAGAGACTACAAAAAAAGAACTCATCGATTTATAGAAAAAAAACTGTTAAAAATGTTACAGTAAAGGGAGTATTTCCAAATTATTTTGCTTTATTCATTTATAACTTTCAAAATTCCAGCGAATCAAAAAGATAAATTGGTTTTTTTCTTTGTGCGAAGCCCTTTCGGATGACCTCTGAGTAAGAGAACGTACTTAAATATTTCTTACCACTCGTTGTCATACGTTTCATTTATTAATGTTAGGACATATGTTGACACTATGAAAGTATAATTGTCGGTTGATTGTCATGTTGATTATAAATCCACACCAGCCCCTATGCAGGTATTATACGTCGAACAGACTGACAAATGGTTGTCTCATTATGCGTGATACGTAAAAAGGAGAAAGCGCGCGGCGAGTTGGTGACGCATGCGCAGAAATATCAGGGTGAGACGACGCGGCTTGAAAGTTGTCAGTGCTTAAGCGTGCCTGCCTGCAACTGTGCGGCGTATGTCGACTTCGTCGTTATATTCCGAAATACCGTCTACAGAGTGAAATTACATTGCACCTCTGTGAAAACATGCGATTGACCAGTACTGCCGGGTAAACAGATATCGAATTAGTAAGGTAAGCCCATGAAAAAGTGAATAATCTCCTGTGTAATCGTGGAACCGCCAAAATGTCTCTCCGATCGACGCCATCTTGATGGTTTATGTTGACAAATTCATCTTACGTGTGCGTTCAGTTCAGCTTTTTCTCGTGATTTTTCAGTCAAAAGTACGTGAATTCATTTTTACATTTGTAAAATTTTTACAAAAAATAGCTCCTTTAACGTTAACCGAGCTCAAATGCGTATTTACCAACTGCCGCTTCCATCATTATGTATAGAGATTATAGCTTGTAATTTAGCTTCGTAAATATTGATTGTGCAAGTGATATTTAAATAAGTTTTTTTAGTTTGAAGGTGAAATTTGAACAGCCAAAGAGTTCAACATGTTCTATGCACACTTTGTTTTGGCCAAAAAGGGCCCTTTGGCCCGTATTTGGTTGGCAGCTCACTGGGACAAAAAGTTAACTAAAGCTCATGTTTTTGAAACCAACATTGAAAAATCTGTAGATGGTATTTTACAGCCAAAGGTAAACGTCTCATATTTTCATTTGTCATTCATCCATCATTATCATTTTGAAGTGTTTTAAAATTAAAAATTATTTTTCTTTTATTTAACATTTATTATTCATTATAATCTTAATCTTAAATTATAATGTTATTCATGATTAAGTTTATTAACATTTTCTATTTTGTAGGTGAAAATGGCTCTGAGAACATCTGGTCACTTGTTGCTGGGAGTTGTACGTATCTACTCTCGCAAGGCAAAATATTTGTTAGCAGATTGTAATGAAGCATTTGTCAAAATCAAAATGGCCTTTAGGCCAGGAATGGTTGATCTACCTGAAGAACACAGAGAAGCAGAAGTGAATGCAATTACATTGCCTGAAGTATTTCATGATTTTGATTCAGCTATGCCGGAATTAAAGTAATTTATTTATGTATTGGTTGTGAACAATGCAAATTTTTTTTTTGATCAAATATTTAACATTTATTTTTCAATATTTACAGAGATGTAGATATTGAAGCACAATTTAGTTTGAATCAATCAAGAGCTGAAGAAATCACTATGAGGGAAGATTACGGTAGTTTATCGTTAGTAACACATGATCAAGGTTTTGGTGATATGAGTTTTGATGTAGAACCTCCAGAATTACTTCGACATGCTTCCAATATTGATGCCCCTTTGGATCAAAGGCATATGTTGTTTACTGATGATGGTGCTGGCATTGAAGCTGCTTTGGAGCAAGAAAAAGAGGCTGTTGCTGGAACATCTTCAGGAGCTCAACCCATGGATATTGATACTCCAATCAGAGATGATGGCTTTGGTGGTCACTTAGGACAAGATATGATCTGTAAGTACTTTTGATTAATACAACTATGACTTCTTTTGGTTTTACTTCTGGTTTCACTTGTTAATGGCATTTATAAAATCACTTTCAGCTGGTGGACTCTTTGAAGGCGGTCTCTTTGACGAAACACCAATGGGTGATGTACCTGTCCCAGATGTAAGCTCAATGGGTGATCAGCAAGATCCCAACGCAGCCGCTGTGGCAACTGCACCCGATGATTCGGACGAAGACATGGGCGATCACTTTGGTGGGCCAGCTTCGCCAATGGGTGGCATGAGTAGCGATGGCTCGAGGCCCGCATCTCCTGCTGGTGGTCTTGATGCAGGGGGTGGACGAATGAGTGTCGCAAGTCGACGTTTTGCCACTCCAGCACCACCAGCCATAGCGGATGATCACATGATGGATTGTCACGACGAGCAAAATATTCCTCAAGATCAGTCGAGTTTGACACACGACGAAGAAGAGAGTTTCGCTTTGGCGCCGGTTGACGCATCAGCTCTAAAAGGATTCACCAAGGCCAAGCGAAAGAGAAAACTCATTGTTGATGAGGTGAAGAATATTTCCGGAGAGGAAATGAAGGCACAATTGTCAGACACGAGCGATATTGTAACGACACTAGATCTTGCACCACCTACCAAAAGGTTGATGCACTGGAAGGAAACCGGAGGAGTAGAAAAGCTGTTTGCTTTACCTGCCAGGCCCATTCCTGCAAGAATTTTGTTCAAGAACTACCAACGACATTTGACCAGCAAGACCTATGATCACGACGACTTCGGAAGATTAGGTGGCGGGGAGGATGATATGCCTCTTGAGCAAATGAGGGACGAACACAGGGAAGCTGAAGCTGTATTTGAACAGAGTGGTATTCAAACGAGGCGATCTACGCGCAAACGCAAGGCACCTGCCGATGAAGAGGTATAATATTTTATTTTTCAATTTTATTTTGTTAATGATCGAATATGACTTGATCATTCTTCAATTTATAGCCATCATCGCCGTTGCAACCAGATATAACACATACGTCGGCTATATCAGAACCAGTGGACCAAAGCGTAAACGCGCAACTTCCTCCAGTGGTATCACCGGTTCAGGTGCCAGTCCAGGAACCGGTGGTTCCCGACATTAGTAGCATCATGTCCGGTGTCGATCAGTCGACAATGATGAATGCTGGCGCTGCACCTGTAGAGAATCCACTTCTCAGTATGGAAATGCCACAGATACCAGCCAACGAAGTCAGCTCGTTACTTGGGACAGATCACCACGAACCTCTGCCACCTACCGATGGTATGCCGCAGATGGAAAACATGGGATATGATCAGGTATTAGATTCATTTAATTTAGACGTCCTTCTTTCTCTGATGTTTAAAAGCTCCGAATTCAATTTAATTAATTTTATACATTTTTTCCAGAATGCACCTCCTTATATCGGATACGATGATCAGCATCCACAAGCTCACACACCTGGTGGAATTTCGGACAGAGGAGGACCACATACACCGTGGAATCAAGAAGATTACGAATTTCCACCTTCTGTCGGACCGGTAAATATAGCTCTAAACTTCAAAGATATAATAGTTTTGTATTTTTGCAAATGTTGATGTTCTTTCTATGTTTTATAGCAAGAGGAACAACAAGTAGATGAAACTTATGAACAATTTGAAGAGCGTGTACTGAACAAACGTGCAGCGCACATGTATCATGCTATTAAGAGTAAATTTGATAACAGGGATACTTTGACTCTTTCTGAAATGACGCACAAAAACAGTCGCAAACAGGTATGCAGACTAGATTATATTTCACTTTCTAGTTTGATTAATATGTGTTATATAATAATGTTTTTTTCATTGTTCATAGGCGGCTCAGAAATTTTACACACTGCTAGTTTTAAAGAAATTTCAAGTGCTGGAAATCAATCAAGAATATTCCTACGCTGATATATTCGTTACCAAAGGTCCAAAGTTCGAAAATCCAGCGCTTTAAATTCATTATTCTTTAATTTTAGTTTGCAAATTTTTAACTTAAAATACAGTAGGTATATATTGGCATAACTTTCCTAATTTTTCATTTTTACAAACGAACGCCTATCGTATAATTGACGAGATCGCGAGTATTTATTTCTTATTGATAAAAAAACTCGGTAAATATAAATATATAATAAAGATATGAAAGACTAAGAAAAATATATTTCTACACAAGCTTTGTTAGATGCTAATAATACTAAAGTAATCGTTTTGGGTTTTATGTCCAATCACGTAAGGCAGAGATATTTATATATTAGATTTTTCAACGTGCGTTAATGTAAAAACAATGATTTTTTTTCACCGTTAGTCAATTAAAATAGTTTTGTTTTCCTTTATTTTATTGCAAATTGAGTTTCAATATGAAGTAGTATTTTACTCCATTATAGATGAAATAGGAAGATTGAAACTCATTTACAATGAATTCGACACGTATCATAATTTTATTATTGAAACTCGTGATGAAATAAAGTATTTAAAAGGGAAATACAGTGTAAGTGTACGGCATATTTAATAAATAGAATTTTATTTCGCAAACTGAATCAAAAACCGTAAATATTGCTAAATTTTAAGAAATTCTTGCTTTTAAACGTCATACCTACTTTTGTATTGAATAAAGTTGAAAAACTTTATCTTGCATTTTTTAACTTAACAAAAAACATGCTATTTACGTGATTAGCAGTGATTCTTAAAATGGCAAGAATATGTAAGGCCATTTCATTTTATATAGAAAATACAACTTCATTTAAATTGGATTTCAGTTTTCCCGTAGATTCAATATCAATATTGTGCAAAGAAAATTATTATACTTACTAAGTGACAATTAAATTCTCATTTTCGTATTATAACGAGAGTTCATTCAACATTTTTAATTATTTTTATAGTATGTGTACTTTTAATAAAAATTTTCTAATGAAAATGCAGGTTGCAAGAAAGCGAAATTATCTGTATTGCGTATTATTAAAAGTGCGACTTTGAGTGACAAATGTTACGTTCTAAGAATTATAGTTTAATTGTACGATCTATGCTCTTGTTATAGATTGAATTCGATAAAAAAGCGAATGATGTAAAATATTTTGTTAAAATGCGGAAATAGTGTTTGCCTCGCAAACTTGCGCGATTTTTAAATTGTGACTATGTCGGTGGAATGGTATGAATATATTGTCTAGAACTATATTGCGATGGGATCATACGACAATGCTTCGATTTTTTTACAATTCTGATTTGTAGATTCGAAGTTTCGTTATGTTATGCAAATCCCGTAAAAAAATTGAACTATAAGTATACTGTTTGTAGATAAGAATATACTAACTAAATAAAGTAATAATTAGTAAAATAACCAATGAGTAATGAAATAAGCTTTATTTCAAAAGACCATCTATTAATAGTACATGTGTATTATGAATAAGCATGTTCACTTCGTTGCAACCAGTTAATTATTCGCCAAGTACGTACAAGATAGTTGATTCGATTGTTCCGTGTAATGGCTAAAGAAATTAACAAACATCCGTCGATCATCCAAACTCTTGCAATCATGTAAAAACCGAGATCCTGGATTTTGATTTTTATAAAAAGTTGATGATAAAAAACAGTCTGTTAGCGGAGTAATAAACTAATCGATAATCATTTAATATTTTAAATAGACTCAATCATCAAGCTCGCCACACTGCATGGCATCGCCGTATGACTTGTCCTTCTTTTCTGGGTCCAGCTTGATCATGTCGTCGATTCGTAGGATCGTGATAGCAGCTTCAGTTGCAAACTTGAGAGATTTAATTTTTGAAACAGCCGGCTCAAGAACTCCCGCCTTCTTATTATCTCTGATCGTGCCCTCATACAAATCTAGTCCAACCCTAAAAATTATAATAATATTAAATATAATTAATGCAGAAGATTAATCAAATAAGCAACTCATAATCGCCTTAGATTCATTGCCATAGCACAAAATGTAAATTTACCATTTGAGGTGAGCATGATCGACGACTGTTTGGCTGGAATTATGGTAAGCTCGCAGCTTGGCAACAAGATCTGTGGCGTCCTGCGCCGCATTGACAGCCAGTGTCTTGGGAATGACCAACAGTGAACGAGCGAACTCAGCGATTGCAAGTTGTTCTCGAGAACTCTAAAAATATAAAATTACAAGACTGTTTTTTTATTGAATGCATTTGCGTGCTTCATTTTATTGTGAATCACTTACCAATGAAGTTGCAAAGTTCTCAAGATAGATAGAAAGTGCCGCCTCGACACAACCACCTCCAGCGACTACACTCTTGCTCTCGAGAACTCGTTTCACTGCACACAAAGCATCGTGCACGGAGCGCTCCATTTCGTCACAGTAGAAATCGTTGGGTCCACGCAAGATGATCGAACTGGCTGTCCTAGCTTTTGGTCCTTTGATGATGATCAATTCGTCGTCGCAAATCTGTTCTGTGTACACCTCAGAGGCTTCTCCAAGATTACTAGCTTCGAAGATTTCCTCGCCTTCCATATTAATCAAAGAAGTCGTGAAACTAGCACCAGTTGCCTTGGCGATACGCTTCAAATCTGATTTTTTACATCTACGCACAGCCATTGCTCCGGCATCAACGAAATACTAAAAAAAATATTAACAAATGTATGATAGCGAAAATCTACAAAAGTTGTTAGTCAACTTTTTGTACCTTAAGGCACAAGTCATCAATTCCACCAGTGCAGAAGATGACATTTGCTCCGGTAGCCAAAATTTTCTGTATGCGTTCCTTAGTAATGTCAGATTCTCGCTGACGGATAGAGTCAAGTTTCTCTGGATCATTGATAAGTACTTCAACACCAAGTTTCATCTTAGCTTTCATCAATCCGAAATCCAAGCAAGCAATCTTAGCATTGGTAATTTTCTTAACCATCAATTGAGAGGCAACTGTGCAGTTAAGAGCATAACCAGGAACAAGGACTGACTCCCGAACACTTTTACCATGGGCTTTCAAGACATTAACCGCGTTAATAGGGTAAACAAAACCTCCTTTGCCATCATTGATTTTGACAGCGTTTGCAGCATCCACTACCATATTACCGAAAAAATCTGAGTCACTTTGAAAGTATTATTATAGAAAATATTGAGAGAACTGCTTTTAATGTAAATCAAAACAGATAAGCATGTAATTATTGATGAATATTGATTATATATAAAAAAGGATACGCATTGATAATTTTACTAGATATTGAAGTTTTGGCTACTTGAATCAAACAATCCTTGCCAAGTTCTTCTACACTAACTGTCAAGTGTTCTTGAATATATTTGCAAGCTTCCCTGAAAGTAAAGTTGAATACTTTAATAAGGAAAATTATTTATAAAATATGATTTAAACTAAAGAAATTTCAATTTACTTGCAAGCCAATCTGTAACCACCAATTACAGAGGTTGGATGAATCTTCTGTTTAACAAGTTCATCCGCATTTTTAAGTAATTCTGCAGCGATAATAACCTACAAAAAATTATGGAATAAAAACATATTAAAAACAAAGGAATAAAATTCTATTACAGATTTGAAATATTTCTTGTCAAACTTACAACTGATGTGGTACCATCTCCAACTTCTTCATCTTGCAGCTGTGCAAGTTCAACCAAAACTTTTGCTGCGGGATGTTCAACTTCTAATAATCTGAGAATAGTCGCTCCATCATTAGTAATTGTTACATCCTGGTAATGGTAAATATATTATAACTTAACAGATTATCAAATAAATATTTTAAATAAAGTAAACCAATTTTAAAAAATCACTGAAAGACTTACACCAATATCATCAACAAGCATTTTGTCCAGGCCAACTGGTCCTAATGAACTTTTGACTATGTTTGCAATAGCTGATGCAGCCATCACTGTGAATAATTTTAGTTATAGGAGTCATGCTCAATTATTATGAATTACTTTCATAATTATTTTCTAACATAATTAAATAAAAGAATGAATTTAAAATTCATTAATTCTATTCTTATAATATAATTGTGAATTTTATACATAGCGATGAACTAATAGGGAAGTCTATCACGTTCAGCAATAGCGTAGACAGATATTTTAACCTTTGGAAAACTCAATTAACAGCATAAGTAAATCAATAATTTCAAATTTTTAAGTCAGCTTCAGCATAATATAAAAATCATAACATATAGGCGACATAATTATAGAATAGCGTAAATCATAAATAATTTGGTAATTAAATGTGTTGTGTAAAGTTAAAAATGTTAATAATGAATTTTAGAGTAAGTCATTGTGATGGAGGTTACAGACTTACCATTTTGAGTGCGAACCGGAGCACCGGATTGCCGGGTGCCACCGACCGCCAGAGTACTTGCTACCGTCGACATTTCTTCGTAATTTGTACGATAATCACTGGAGTAAAGAGAATCAACTAAAAATCAGACGAACACGGCGTCGAGAGAACTCAACCGCGTGCAACTCGAGTCTTTGGATAAATAACAATGGACGACTTTCTTCGCTTAAAGTACGCCTGCTGGAACACATTCCGTTGTAAAATGGAAGCTCATTGGAGGACACACAAGACGTTAGCGTGCGCATTGGTCATTATTGGTGATATCACAAATGCCGGCGCGCTAGGGGATTCATGTATTTATCGAAATAATTTTCATGAATCTTGTCATTTATCTCTTCAGTAATATTTATAAGTTTTATGAAATATTTTTAAACAAGAATTAATAGCGATTTGAAAAAAGTTTGTTTATGTAATAACTGTAGTTCTCTTTCTTTGTAAACGAAGTAGAGGTCTCGCGCATGTAAGCCGAATTTGTGACCTTATATGGTCAAACTTTAGGAACAGTTTCTTAAATTCTTAAATTTAACTTTTTGTTGTAAAATTTTTTTGTAAGTAATGAAGATATTTTAAAATAATTTAATTCATAGTAAATAAATTAAATGTTTAAAAAGAATTGATTTTATATCGACGAAGCTATACATTATTTACAAACTAACCATAACAATTTTATTTTCAACTTATTTTTTTCTTTTTTTCCTCTTCAACTGGCATGGAATCAAGTGATGAGTTTCTGAACGTTTTGCGTAATTTATCCACTTCTGATTCCTTTTCATCCACGCTCCAACGTACTGTTAATCCAGTTGTCTGTGAAATTGGCATATTACTAACAACTATATCTTTAGAGCCACCTTCTTCTACATTGTAAACAGTAAATAAACTATAATATTCAAGTATATTCTCTGAAATAAAAAAAGGTTTGTAAATTAAATTGTACAGTAATATAACTATCAAGATAAATTATTCAATTATTCAAATTTTTACATAATATATAGCACACATGAATTTTAAAAGAATATAATTTTATTCAATATATAAAAGTAATTTGTATTTCTTTTATTCATTGACAGTATTTTCCATAGGACATAACAAAAGTTATTTAGAAAATTGTACTCACCTACAACTTCTTTTTCTAATTTATACTCAGCTGCTATATATGATGCAGTGTACTTTTTAGGATTAGTTTTACGATTTGACAATAATTCTACTGCTTGCCGTAAGCTTATTCGGCCAGGTTTGATTTCAGGTGGCTCATAATGTCCAAATGGAAAGTCTTCATGCAAAAGCCTATCTTTAGGAAGAGGTCGATTTGGATTTTTTCTTTGGTCTATTTCTTGAATCTATAAATATATTTTATAAGAATAAATCTATATGTCACTTTATAAAATATCTAGTAACCGTCTGACTGCTGGTATGACACTTTTAAGCATAATGCTGTGATGGATTCTCATCCACCATTAGTTGGGAGACACTTGCATGGAAATTTATGATTAGTTATCATTTTTCTAGAAGAAAAAATGTCAGCATTCAGAAGGTTAATGTTAATGTTTTATAATAATATACCTCGGTACTATTAGATGTCACATAAACTTTTTTCAGATTATCGTTAAGTTGTTGATCTTTCCTTTGAGCTTTTTGCTTGTAATCTGGTTCTACTACATTATAAAACAACCTTACATGAACTTTATAAACTACTCAAATAGTTTGGAGATAAAATGTTAAGTACTTACATTTATTAACTAATTCTATTTGCTGCAGTGTGGAATCATATGTTGGAGCAGCTTTTGGTTTTTCTCGGGAAATGATTTTGTGTGCACGATTTTCTATATTCCAATTCCTGAATGGTTTAGTCAATTTAGAGCCAATAGATCCCATAATTAAAAAAGGGCTTAAATTCCGAAAACATAATTATATTGAAAACATTATCTATATGACATTAATGTAACATCATGCAACATGAAAATAATATACACTTCAAATGATCTTTGCGACATATCACGTACATGTTTTCACTTCAGCGTAATTGTAAGGAGGTGATAATACCTTCGCGTTACTGGTATTTTGTTTAAAACTAATTTTCTTTTATGAATTCATAGTTTTTCATAAACAATCTAAACATCCGTATGATTTTGGAATCGGAGTATGGATTTTTAGGTTACGAATAAATTATTCGACCCCAGACAAGAGTGCAGACGATTATTATTGGTTTCGTCTCATAGCATGAGTAGAAAAAGGATAGCAAACAAAATTCAAAAGACTCGAAAGATGGGTAGTAGACAGAGGTCTCTCACAACCGTGCAACAACCACACAAGTCACAACGCAAGAAAGGCGCCAAATTTCTTATGAAAAACTTTAGTTTCTTCAGTAACTGTAGATATCTTTTTATTACTTCTATGCTTCGCAACGAATAATATTTATTTTATTCGTTACATCCCAAGATGCATCTCAATTGTATGACTAATGCCTTGTATTAATTTTATATCATGGTAAAAGAATTGTTGATCAATAATCTGCAACTATTTGTTCAATATGTACTACTGTATGTATGTATAAACACGTATATGCACGTAAAAACAGACTGACACAGATCAGCATTCCAAGATGTAATATATAGGCAATACACGATTTATAGGGCATTGTTCAACTAAAAATGAAGTAGAACCTTACAATAATCTGCAAGTCATTCTCTTTTAAAACAATGTAATATAGACAAATGCTAAATTAAATGTTTTGAAGAATTTTAAAGTATATTCCCCTTATTATTCCCTTAATCAAAACTAGCGCATCCCATCGCTTCTATAATAAATAGTCACTCGCGCCATGAGTAATTTCTTTTTAGGACGCTGGCGCTTGCTTTTACTCGGTTGTGCGCGCGAATTAAAGAAACAATAAATAAAAGAGCTCTCTCTCTCTCTCTCTCTATCTTTCTCTCTCTCTCTCTCTCTTCCTCTTTCGTCTTGCAGGCAGAACAGAACAGCGCAGCAGCTTACATAGCAGAGCGCGCGGCGCGTGCCTTCGCAAGCTGGCAGCAAGCAGCGAGTGGATCGGAGTGAGACAGCTGCAGCTCGCGAGCACTGCATACCATAATCAAACTTGTGTGTGTTCATTCACTGACACACGCTATCTTTCTCTCTCATACGGTAGCGCTGAATACAAGGATAAAAGAGGCATGCTGTAGTGTAGGCGAGACAAGGATGAGGATAGGCGAGATAGATGTTTGTGTATATAGGTATATACACACGCATGTAAACCAAAGCGGAGAGCAGTGCAGTGCAGCGCGCTGGCGGCGGCCGCGAGAGAGCACAGAGCGTGAGTGTCAAGTCGGTCCCCAGGAATGTGGCACTTCAAAATGGCTGCCAGTTACTTTAGTAATTTACGGCCGTGTCTCTCTTTGTTGTCGGCCGTGCAGCCGTGATCGAGTGAGCTGCAGCCAGGTTGCTCCTTGAGCCATCTAAGGCACGGAGTTGCGATCATCAGCAGCTCCGCCAGCCTCCGTACTACCATCTTGACCCAACATCCCGAGCTTGAGCACTGAGTTCGCTGATTTGCCGCCGCCGCTACTGCTGTACTGCTTCTACTGCTGCTGCGACGGCTACTGCTCCGATTCTACTCTCAGGGGCATCCGTGTGTTTTGTTATTCTCTTCGTAGCACCAGCCTTGTCGTCAAGGTCCATGCTACACTCAAAAGCTGGCCAAGTATGCAACCTCGTCTTCGGGATAAGGTGAAGCTGTAGTGTGCCAAAGCTCAAGATAACAAGAAGTTTACAGAAGTTTGCTGAGGTCTGCCGAAAATGACCTCCTGGTGGTTTAGCGGTTTCGGGCATTACCCTGACTTAGTTCTGGTATTAAATACTTGTTAAAATTTAAAAGATTTAACTATTAAATTGCTGTTGGCTGGTAGCATATACCGAAAAAGCTCTTAAAGTGGAAAAATAGTGGAAAAGAAATAAACTAGGACACATAAAGATCTGCTCTGACAAAAGCTGTCTTGGAGTTTGATGTAAAAGAGAATAAGGAGGGTTAGGTATTTCAAGTGCTCAAAGGATGTTAACTGTATTTCATAAGTTAAAACATGTTAATCCAGCTGTCAAGTCTCAATATGATTCTCCATATTTTCTAAATGCTTTAAATGCTGTAGGATAAGTTGAAAGTCTATCATCATTATCTACTTCAACTGTAACAATGATAATAAAGAGTAAGAGGACACATGGTTTTTATAAAACTACACAGAGATACTGTTATCTTACTGGATACTCCCAGTTTCTTGTGCCTTAAAGCTGATATTTACTTGAACTTTGTGTTTCAAACTATGTTACTGGATGTCTTACAAAAGTGATTTACACTAATTAAATGTGACAGTGAATGGATTATAAGTTTCAATGTATGCAATGGATATTGCTATTTAAATGGAGGATTTTTCATGGCAAAGAGAAAGTTGAATTTATCTCATTGACTTAAATGTGCGCTTTGCGCCAGTGGTGTATTTATGTTTCTGCCAAATTGAAGCTAGGTCCCACAGGGCCTAGCATGGGCCACTATGAATCCACCTGCAGTCAAGGCAACAACTCGTGCCTCTGGATACCATCAGAAGGCACTAGCTGAGATTCGCAATTCATTGCTTCCATTTGCTAACCAAACTGGTAAGTTTTCAGAGATAATACTTTAAAATATGATTAATGCAGGAGATTAATCAAATATTGTAATCTCATTACAGTCTTGTAAGACATGACAATAGTCACAGTTGATTGTTGTATTTGGTGTCAATTTGTAAATATACAACACTAAAAAGAATAATGATCTATACAGGTTCATTTGCAATGATATTGAATCAATCTAAGCATAAATGGTATGAATTAACAGGAAGCCTAGGAGAAATTGGTTCTAGTGCTGCTAGCACAATATCAACACTTTCTACAACTAGTGGTGTAAGTTCTGCTTCTGGTCTCAGTGGCCTATCTGGTGCATCTGGATCAATAGCAGAAAAATCTGATCAACGCCAAGCATTAGCACAACTTGTAGGAATGGGTTATACAGAGGTATGTAGTATATTTGCTTTTATCAGAAACATTTTTTATGCATTATTCGTCAATCAATATATATTTTCTTATGATCAGTTGAACCGAACGTTAAAATGTTAATGATAAGAGATTTGCACAATTCCAGCTAATCTTTGATATTTAATTTTATTGTATAAGTAGTTTTAAATACAGGAAAAAATTGGCAAATATAATAGTGTATTTTAAAATAATTCCTATTAATTTATAATTCATTTTTTACAAAGACATATGTGAATCATCTATGATTCATCTTATAAGTAAAGCCTGTGTGTAACTAAATTGAGAAAGAAAGATTATTAATAAATGGTTCAAATAAAAATTACTCAATGGTTTATTGATCTGATAATATAAACTTTTTTCTTAATATACTAACAGAACTAGTCAATTAATGGATAACTCATGATTTATTTAACGACTCATTGGTAATAAAGAACTAAAAAGTGTTTATATATTAAGATACGGAAGAAATCGCGTATTTGAATGTTCAAAAAGCAATTTTTCTATTTATAAATTTTCATATTTTTTTTACTGATACCTACTTAGTTTTATAAATATTTCAAAATTACAATTACATTATTGATTTCTACATTAATGAAAATGTTTTCAATGTTATTTGATAGCTATGCAGGAAATCATTTTTTCAAGATAAGCTTTTTAGAAGAAAATAAAATATTTGTTGCTTATAGAACATACTCAAGCATTTTCAAGACACATTTGTAAATTTTGCAGTGTTGCAAAGTTTACAAATGTTTAATGTGTATTGTATCCATTGAGTTCACAAAAATTTTGGTGCCTATTTCTATTGTATTGACAATTTTAAATAGTATTTCAACAAAATGTCCATTAATATATGATTCCATAATTATTGATGTTCTATTTGTAATAGAAGAAAATTGACAAACAAGTATAAATTTAAAACCAAGTGTTGAATTATTTTCAACGAAATGGAGCACTATATATTTGAATCTTGATAAAACTATAAGCAAAATCAATTTTCGAAAATTGGTTGTTATTAATATTATTTTTCTCTTAGGAGCTGAGCCTACGGGCCTTAAAAATGACAGGCTGGCGGCCGGACGCAGCATGTGAATACCTAAAGCAGGCATCGAGTCACGATGCAGGTGCACCAACATCGAACCTCAATGGACTGAGCAAGCTAAACACAAAACTCATTCGCAAGCCAAGTCTAGAGCGTGAATTATCATTGCAACGAGGTTCACCAGCATTGGATAGCGGCGCAGGCAGCTCGCGGTCAGATAGCCCAAGGTTACCGGCGGAGCCGGGTCTTAGTCCGCACCATCAGCAACTCAGTCGCCAGTATTCGCCTTCAAGTTTTGTCGAACGTGAACCTCCGCCGCCACCTCCCCCAAGATGTAGTTCAACTCCACCGCCACCACCTCCGCCGCACGCGCCGTACACGTCGCCGAACGTACCTACGAAGATGCAGGAGATGTTAAAACGGATGTCACCTGCACCTGTAGTACCCAGTAGAGCGCCTTTGGCCGCGCCTGGCAGTGGTGGCTCGATTTCAGGAACAGTTAACGGGGTACAGAGAGGTACGAGTCCGGTGTCAACTAACAGTGCCAGTTCTGGAGGTAGACAACCGATGATTGTTCAAAATGGACCACAGGCGAGTGATCTTTGTTATTATACGTCTTATTTTACTAACTAGATGCTTTGAAATATACAAACTAACATTACTTTGCTTCATAGGTTCAACAACAGCTTTCACAGCAAATGCAAGCTCTAAGCATCTACCAATCAAACAACTCATCGTCGAATCAAGTGGAACCACCGCCACCGTATCCTATAGTCTCGTCTTCCGCGCCGGGTGTAGTGCAGCCGCCGTCGTACAGCGCCTCCATGCAGAACCGACAAAGTCCCACGCAATCTCAGCAAGATTACCGTAAGAGCCCATCGTCGGGCATCTATTCGGGACCAACATCGGCAGGTTCGCCAAGTCCCATAACGGTGTCGACTATGTCGCCGAGCAATCACAATCAGTCGCAATCGATGGCTCGCCCAACTCCTCTGCAAGCTTGGGGTGCTCGCCAAGCAAAAACTCAACCGCCTATCATAATGCAGTCGGTGAAGAGTACTCAAGTGCAGAAACCAGTGCTGCAGACAGCAATAGCCCCCACTGCGCCTCAACCTATTTCCACGACAAGCAGTACACCACCACCTCCGCCGAGCTACGCATCCTCGATACAGCAGAAACAACAGCAGCAAGCTCAACAACAACAGCAGACGCAACAGCAGGTGCAACAACAGCAACCACCTCCGCCAGCATATCCACCGGTGGTAGGGAACAATAGCTCGAATTGTGCCTCCAGTACTTCACCATTGAATATGGGAGTATCGGTTGGAGTACCTACCACTGAACCACCAAGTTATGCTACTACGATGCAAGCACTCGCCGCACAAAGGGGCATGCATCATCCAATACCACCGCCACCATATGGTTCTACACCTACCAGTGATGATTCTTGTATCGGCATGGTAAATAGCTTATTGAGCTATTTTAATATTTTACGTTCAAACTCGTTTCTATTTTTTTTTTGTTCAATGCCAAATATTATATGCATATTCTTGACGTTGAGCAGCATATGAGTTTCAATGACAATGTCTGTATATTTTGAAACTGCGATAAATTTATCTCTGGCAGCATATCATTCTTTGATAGATACTCACTCCTCTTTGTTACTCGGAATTGTTTTTTAAAAATGTTTTTGCGTAGACAATAGGTCGATTGTCTATCTTTATTATCAGTTTCTAGCCCAACGATATTTTTTCTCAACAAAGTTGTCAAAGTTATTTATTATTTTATTTTTTAAATACAATAAAATCATTCCATGTACGTTATTTTTCATTAATTATATGACACTTTCGTTGTATTATCATAATAGAATATAAGCACATCGATTTTTATATTTGGAAAGTATTTAGAAAACTGTTGTTTGTACCGCAAGTATATTATTCTTAAAATGTTCGAGCATCTTAGCCATAAACTGTACGTAGTTATGCATAAAAAAAGAGAGAAAGTTTACACTGGTCAAAATTAATCAGTGATGTGCGAGCACCAGACAATATTCATAAAAGTAAAACAAGAAATAGATTACCTACATTACGGCGAATGTAACAAACAAGTGCACTTTTGCAAAAGTATGTGTAGTATTAAGTAAAAAGTCGGGAGAGAAATAAAATTATACAATGTACATACACGCGTTGGCAGATTATTGAAAGTATCATAAATTATTTGTTGGACTGGAATACTTTTTTATTTATTGATGAATAATTTTGGATTAATTGTAATAATTTTTTATTTAATTACCCGTAGGGTTCATCAATGGAAAGTGGTTCGGCATCTCGTTCCTCGCCTGTAGCACATCACCCACCACTACAACGTAAATATTCACCAGCACCAATGCAGGTAGTGGAAAGCTGCCAGCAACATCCTTCGGAAACTCCACCTCTACCTCCAACATCTTCGAGCTCGGTCACAACAAATGTGCAGCGCAATAATGGTACTCACTCAGCTCTACCCGATGGTGACAAGAAGACAGCTGCTGGCGGTGGCGGTGGTGGTCAAGGCAATGGTCAGTACAAGATAAAGCACCAGTCACCTATACCCGAGCGCAAGCATATGAGCAAAGAGAAAGAAGAGGAGAGAAGGGATTGCAAAGTGCGCAATTACTCGCCTCAAGCCTTCAAGTTCTTTATGGAACAGCACGTGGAGAATGTGCTCAAGTCACACAAACAGCGGCTATATCGGCGCTTCCAACTTGAGACCGAGATGCAAAAGATTGGTTTGAGCGCTGAGGCACAATGCCAGATGCGCAAGATGCTTTCACAGAAAGAATCCAACTACATTAGGTTGGTTAACATGCAAAGAATCACCTGTGACATTATCATTTGCAAGAGAATCTGGTTATTAACAGTAATTTAATTTTTAGGTTGAAACGAGCCAAGATGGATAAGACAATGTTCACAAAAATCAAGCCCATAGGTGTTGGAGCTTTCGGCGAGGTTACACTTGTGCGGAAACTCGACACTAACCAGTTCTACGCGATGAAGACGCTACGGAAAGCCGATGTCTTAAATCGTAATCAAGTAGCGCACGTGAAAGCTGAGCGAGACATCCTTGCCGAGGCCGACAATGAATGGGTCGTCAAACTCTACTACTCCTTCCAAGACAAGGACAATTTATACTTTGTTATGGATTACATACCTGGAGGCGATCTCATGTCGTTGCTTATCAAGTTTGGGATTTTTAAGGAATCGCTCGCAAGGTTTTACATTGCCGAGTTGACTTGCGCCGTCGAGAGCGTTCATAAAATGGGTTTTATTCATCGAGACATCAAACCAGATAATATACTCATTGATCGTGATGGTCACATCAAACTAACAGATTTTGGGCTGTGCACGGGTTTTCGCTGGACACATAATTCGAAATATTATCAGCAAAATGGTATATTAATTGTTCATTTTATCAATTGAATTGTTTTCCACTTTATGAATTATAGTTAATTTGTAATTTTTTTGGGTTAAATGTAGGTCATAGTAAACAGGATTCAATGGATCCCTCTGACGACTGGAACAACGAGTGCCGCTGCCTGCAACTGAAACCGTTAGAACGACGAAGGCACAGAGAGCATCAGCGTTGTCTCGCTCACTCACTAGTCGGTACTCCAAACTACATTGCACCAGAAGTCCTGCAACGAACAGGCTACACACAACTGTGTGACTGGTGGAGTGTCGGCGTTATTCTTTATGAAATGCTCGTGGGTTGCCCACCTTTTCTTGCTAATACTCCTGCGGAAACGCAATATAAGGTAAATTATCATTCTCAATGCTCGTTCATGCTTTCGTTTATGATTGAAAATTATGTTAAATAAAGCATGATGTTATGACTCCAGGTAATACACTGGGAAACGACGTTGAATATACCACAACAGGCCAACCTTTCGACAGAGGGTAAGGACCTGATTCTGAAGCTGTGCGTGGGCGCTGATCGGCGTTTAGGCAAGAACGCGAACGAGGTGAAATCACACCCATTCTTCGCAAGCATTGACTTCGAAAAGGGCCTGCGTCGTCAAGTAGCGCCGCACATACCTCGCATACAATACCCGACGGACACAAGTAATTTCGATCCGGTCGATCCGGAAAAATTACGCAACTCCGAGACGTCGGATACGAGCAAGTCAGACGAGCATCTTGACAATGGCAAGCCTTTCCACGGTTTCTTTGAATTTACGTTCAGGCGTTTTTTTGATGACGGCGGTGGGCCCGCCTATCCTAGTCGAATCAGCCTGGACGACAATGACAATCAAGGGCCTGTCTACGTATGACATTAGGCCAAGTGACGCGCGTGCCTTCACCTCTACTTCTCTTATACTTTATTTCTTATGACGCGCGGTCAGGGTATACGTTTTGTTTTTTTCTTCTTGTCTCTTCTCTCTTTGTAGTTTCATGGTGTCAAGGAGCCATACCGTCGGACTTAAGTTTCGGTATACCTAGTTGAACAGTGAGACTAAATTTTGACAACTTCCTATTGTAGGTTTTTTAACTTTATTAAGCCAAATCTTCGACAAAGTCGACAATTGCCTTTTGGAGTTGGAATATTATTATTATTATTATTATTATTATTATTAATTATTATTATTAATTATTAATTATTAATTATTATTATTATTATTATTATTATTATTATTATTATTATTATTATTATTATACTTATTTATTATCAATTGAATTTGAATATTGTTGTTAGAAATCGATCTTCGCCCAAGAACATACGTAATTTAAAAAATAGGAAATATGTCAGTCGAAGGTATATTTTACAAAGTGCAAGTGAATCTATAACTGGAACAAAAACGCCCGCGCCCTGCGAGAAAATTTATAAGACTTGAATGTACGGTCAGATTTGGGCGTATCGACCGTGCGTGTTTGCTGATAACGTTTTTTTTCGTCTTTTTATAAATACTTTAGCTTGCCATTTATTCGGATCAGCTTTCAAGTACGGAGAAAGTATGCGTGCGTTTTTTAAAAATGTTTCAGCGAGTACTGTGATATTGCAGATAATAGCATAATCTAGCTTATAGTTATTTTTATTTTGAACAATTGAAACTTTCCATATTGGTGAGTTGGCCAATAAGTTGGCAATAATTTATGTACTAAAATATTCTTTGAATCAATTTTTAATGCTTCAAGTGTCAGTTCTGTTTGATAACGTTTTACAAATTTTTTCATCAATTTTATAGAAATTTATTAAATTATATGATGATTATGAATTGTTTGATTAATACAACTGTTAAATCAATCAAGAATTTAAACTTTCACAATTGTAATATTATCATCAAGATAATTCGTCTTCTCACGTAGAATGTAATGTATTAATTGCATATCGTACACTGCAGCTTTTCTTTACTTTGAAACGTTCATTTCCTTTTCTCGTAAACGCCTACTTGCTCCGCACTAGCAGTATACAATATTTTATATATATATGTATATATGTGTATGTGTATATATATGTATATACACATATACAGACGGAGAGACACTTTGAGTGTGATGTTTAGTATAACATGAATAGGTCTTTCATTTAAGATCTTATGAGACAGCTGAGGAAACGAAGACAAGTAAAAAAAAAGTCTTCGGTTTCCTTGTGTTAGATTTGTAATAAATTATACTGTTGCAATACCTTATTTATTAAAACCAATCATGTAAAAAGTATTGAAACAATTGCATGCTAAGTAACGAAGGGCAGTTGTCTGACTCATAGTTATTGTGTTCTGAAAATCCCGTACAATATAGAACATTTTTTTAATCGTGTTAAATGCGTCTTTTTCACGTTATCGCGGAATGATTCACTTTGAGCTTCTTTGTGGTCAATGGTTCATTTTTTTTTAATTATCAGTTATTTATGGCTTATTATGCGAAATCAAGCATGATGAGACATGTAAATGAGATGTGCACCATTAAAATAATAAATTACAAGATGATAAAAGCGTTATTCAAATTAAGATAGCATGTGTGTGCCTTGAAAGAAAAGTGTTAAAGTGCCTTCAATCAATTTCACTCGAAACGTCACGTTCTATCTTTTAAATGAAATTTAGATTTTTATTCTTGATAATAATTGGATGTGTTCTTGTAAAGAAAACACAAGATGTCGAATTTTTATCGTTTGTATGTACTATGTACAAAAAAATTATAAAATTGAGTACTCCGTACGCGAATATGTATATTATATATAAATAAAATATTTAATTTTAGAGGGAGAGGGGGGAATTATCGAAAAATAACGATGATTGTTCAAACGAAAGAGAAAATTAGTTTTCGTTGTGCTCCGAAAACATACAAATGAGAAACTAAAAAGGTGCAAAATACTAATTAATTTAGAGCATCATTCAATTTTGTAGTCCCGACTAATTTATAAATAAATTATAGCCGATTGACAATCCAGTGAAAAAAAAGCAAATACCTGTGGGAAATTAAAAAGGACCTGCATTTATATTATTCAATCGATTATGTGCCAAGACTGTATGGCAATTTTCGATGCTTGTTATTTGTGCTACTGAGAGAATACTTTTGATTCTCGGGACTGTTGAAAATGTTGCCTGCAATTTTTTTTAATGACGAACAAACATCATATAGCTGCCTTGTGGAGGAACTGCAATTTCGTAGGTTCATTATGACTTCGCGTACTACGAAATTAAATGTTCTTGTCGCTCTTCAATACAAACAATCGAACGAAGCAGTAAAACGTATCGAGTTTGTTTTTTGTTAACGAGAGTCATAGCGAGCGAAGCGAATATTGTAATGTTATCGACAGAATTTTTTTCAGAAACTTTTCCCAAAGTCGCTTGATACGTTGAACTGCTTGGTTTTAGAACCTTTATTAAGAAATCACACGAATGCATATAAAAATGAAAACGCGCGAGTGATAGTAAAAATAGAGTGCGAGTGAGATCTGTTTTACGACGCATCTACATGAAATAAATAAACAACCGTGCGTTGCGAAATCAAGTGTCAATTCTATATGTACATTTTTTAAATATCTCCTTCCCAATTGTAATTAATTCAAAGTAAACGGTAGCGAGAGATTAGTAAAAATTAAGCTTAGTTTTTTAAGTCTCTTATAATATATTACCGAACTTGTATAAATATTTTGGATGAGTGTTCTAAATTAAAAGTATGTTCAGTGCTTAAACATCTTTTCTATTAATTTTAATTCCTTTTTTTGACATGCCACTCTCATTTCCATTAAACTTTTTCATTTTATTTTTGAAATTGTAGAAACAATTTTGTACTTATAAAATAATTAATGTAGGAAAAGTAATATTTAATTTTTTACTATATTTTATGTTGCAAAATAATTAATTAAAAAATGAGACAGATCATGTGCTTAGCTTTATTTATAAAATGCTTAAAGAACAATAAGCAATTGTTTTACAATATAGAATATATTTGGTGACGTATTATTTTTTTGATAACTTTCATTACGTCACTTGGATACTCCATGTTATTTGACAAAATCAAAGGTTTTCATAGTTACTACACGTGTTAACTCATAATATTTGATTTAACAATTTTTTTATATAAAATACGATTGGAGTAAAACTGTTTTTGCTCTCTCTCTCTCTCTCTCTCTCAACTCTATAAAAAAGAAACATTTGCGCAGGCGCTCTTCCAACACGTGATGTGACAGGTCAGGCAGACGACGTGTTTTCTTGGCTACACAATAGCAGACTTCATTATCATTTAGGTATAGCTGAATATTTGTTCACCTTTTGCGGTTGCAATTCGTGTAAGCTCGCCGACGAAATATCATTTAATTTTTACTCTCCGAACGACAGAGGATCAAAACAATTTACAAAGATGAATCGAATAAGAAAAATGCTGGCTAGCAAGGAGACTCGTGACTATTTTATGAGGTATATTGTGTCAAATTTCTTTCTTTCACAGTCAAAACATTGAATGTTCGTACTTGAAAAATTTCTATATCAAATGATTATTTTCGTAGCACGCATTTCTGGGGTCCTGCCGCTAACTGGCTAATTCCAATTGCAGCTATTGCCGACATTAAACGAGATCCGAAATTTATCAGTGGTAAAATGACTTTTGGTATGTTAAGTTTCATTCATATGTATTGGAGTTATTTGTTCACTCTGTTCATTAGAATATATTTACATTTTTTACTTTTCAGCTTTATGTTTGTACTCCATGTGTTTCATGAGATTCGCTCTCAAAGTTCAGCCTCGTAACCTTCTACTTTTTGGCTGCCATCTAACAAATGAGTGTGCACAACTCACACAACTTTACAGATTCTTAGACTACAGCTATGCAGAGAAGAAAGAAGAGAAAAAATAAAGTGATTACTATAAACCAACTCACCTTCTTAAAATAAACCCACTACTACTGCCAAGGAGTTTAAGAAACATACACACTGCACTTCCCAACTCAAATACTACTGAAGCGTTGAGTCCATTCAGAGTAAAAATGTAGAACATTTTTATAAATATAATGAAAGTGCTGTATATTGATCTGAATTGTTTAAGATTTTTGAGATGTACAGTGCATCGACTTATTAGATAGTTGTCCCGCTTACTGGGTAATAGTTAATTAGGAAACATAAAGTGTAAATAATAAAAAAATATAAAAATCATGGGATTTACTACTTTGAATATAATGAATCATTAGATTAATAGTTAATTTATATTAATTGGTGCTATTGTAGAAGGCGTTGAGTTTATTTATTAATTTATTTAAAATTTAAATAATTAATAATAAAGACCTGTTTTAAAAAATATTGGTTATTCACATTCTTTTCTGCTCCCAGCGAGAATTGCCATTAATATTTGACACTGGTGGTGTGGAAGCCATCATCTTCCTTTTTCAAAATTTACAAGATCGCAATGTCATGTCAAAATTCGTAGTAACCAAACTATTTGTTGATAAAACAAACATCCTTTAAAGCGTTAAAATCGATTGAAAAACAGATTTATCTATGTATGCTCTTATCGTAAAAGCTCTGCAAGTCATAAAAAAGTTTCTGCAAGCTTCAGCTTATCTAACAAAATTCGTTAACGTACACATTATCCTCAAGATTTACGTTTCTATATTTCTTCTGCTTTACGCTGTGTCCGTGATATTGATGCTCTACCTGCAGGAGCGCCTCGAGCGCACCTTCCTCGAGAATGGAGTAACCGGCAACTCGCGTCGATCGCCGTCATAAGCGAAGCCGGCTGCGATCGTGTTTTTTTATATTTCCGAGTTGAGGCCGAGAAGAGACATTATAGTTTTTTCGCTGCTTGGGCTGCTGCTGTTGTAAAAAATGGTGATCTCGACCGAGCTAAAGGAAGATCCGGAAACCTCCAGTGTCGTCGAGAATGATTTGGCTTCGTACAACGCTTGTAGCGGTGAGTTTTAGGAATGTAGAAAATGTATATTTTTTGGTGGCTATTGAAGTCAACTATTCTGGTGTACTCCTGTTTTACGACCTTCATCGAGGTTTGATCAAAATATTGATTCAATTGCCTATCATAATCGACGTGGGGGAAGGAAGTCACCGGAATAACCAACAACTTCATTGATTTTTGTAATCTTTCTTTATTTAATAGTAAAAAATCACATATGATATAAAATATTTAATCATAATATTTATTGTAGAAATGTTAATTGGACAGAATACACTTTTAGTGTGTAGACGGAGTATTTTATAATTATTTGTAAATAATATCAAAATATCTAATCATAGGCAGTGTTGAGTAACGTCCCACTATAGGCGGGAAGTAACAGGCAGATCATTACAATTGCTTTCGTCATGATACACGATTTTTCATTATAAAATTTTCGTATCGTTGCACGTCACTTTATTATACTTATGTAACAAAAATGTTATACTATAATGGTAAGTGGTTGTAAAAAACATTGCATCAAATTTATCTGCTTTGGATTCTGAAATACTTAAAAATACAACTACGTCTATCACGAGATGAAATCGTATTTTACAAAAGTATTAATATAGCAGGAAAAGTTTGTTCGATATAAAGGCACGATATCATCATTTTGTTAAAAGTACTATGTAGAGTAGATCACTTCTTTTACCGGCGATTGAACCGGACAAATAGTGCTATGCTCAACACTAAAAGTACCCAGCTGGACTGTATAGAGGCAGCTCCAGCCAAACGACATTTATAGATGTCATACCTGTAAGTGTTTTAATAAACATTAATGATTTCAGAACTGTATTACACTCTTGATTTAGAACTATCAATTGAGCGATTGATCGAAACAAAAGCAGTTAATGTATCCGATTGCTTACAATTGACGTTATCTAATTCCATTTCCCGGAAACGAAATTACGCGCATGTTTGTTATTTACGTTTATAAGTTATCTAACATTTATCAAACCAACTCGTTCATTTTTTTACCTCTCGTTCTATCAACACAAACAATAAGCGACCCCTCGGTCCAATACGAAAAATTACGAGTTGTCTAATTAATGTAGTATTTTTGATGTAGTGCAAATAGTAGTAGGTCCCTCAAGGGCGTCACACATCTAGTTATGCTAATTTGCTTGATGCATTTAGTCAAAAAAGGGGGGTCCTACCGGCTTGAATAAACTTGGAAAGATTGTTTTAGCAAAGTATTGTGGCAGATCGGTCAACACTTTTGTTAAAAAGGATTTGTATTTTTGTCAACAATTTGATTGCACCTTTGATTTTGGAACAATTTGCCTTTGTTTCAATTACTTTAATGAAACGACGTATATTGGCAATCGATAATTTAGTATCAGAAATCATTACTAGCAAGTATACTAAACTCGCATTCAACAGAACAAGCGAGCTGAAGTTCAAAGCAGCAGACTCACCTAGAGACTTTGTCCTCAACGACATTGGTGAACTCAGCTTCAACCAATTGTCCATCGAAATACGTTATCAGATCTTCTAGCGGATACTCGAAGCCTTGTTTGCATTCGCACTTGTAGCCGCCACTGTCGAATCCACGACCCAATATCGGTACGCACTGCTCAATAAAGAAGAGAGATATAGAACACAATGGAATATTTAAAATAAATACGTTGTTGATTAATGCCATCGCTGAAAGTCTCCATTATATGATTCCCGCCATTAATTACGCCGTGTTCGACTACGAGAACGACTACGAAGGCGGTAAGCTCATGCACAATTAGAGGAGCGAGCGAACGACAAAAGCGTAGGAATATCATAGAAGAATGCGCGATATAAGGCAAGAAGAAGAAGAGGGAAGAGAGAGAGAGAGAACTCACGTATGAGGATTTTTTGTCGCACTTGTGCGTCCCCTTGAACGCGTTGGGAACATTGAATTTATCGTCACACTGGTTGATATCCAGCTGTAGCAAGTCCATGGTCACAGTAACGACACCCCTGTAAGTGTCTTAATGTTAAATATGATCTTCCTTTAACCTCGCCAAACGAGCGAGAGAGGAGAGAGAGAGAGATAGAGAGCGAGAGCGAGAGAGAGCGAATATAGGTTGAAACGTAGTCATCCTCTATTTGGCTCTCTATCTTTCTGCGCTGCTTATTCTCGTGTGGTGGTGACCCCCAGTAGAGTGAGCGTCCCCCGAGAGAACAGGTTCCCCGCTGAAACTATCTCACACTCGTAGTGGCTGGCAGGCTGGCTGCCTGCCTGCTCGCCGATACTTACTTGAATTCCAGTTTGTCTTTGAGGCTGTCCCAGCCGAAAAAGGGGGATGCATAGGTAATTAACCATTTCTTCACTTTGCCGTTACAATCGAAATAAGGGACGGTCCAGTAGCCGTGGTTCAGGTTTGCTGCCCTGAAACGTACACAACAGACACTCCGAGTCAGTAGACAGATAAAAAGCGGGAGAGACAGAGACAACGAAGAAGAGGAGGAGACGGACGAGCCGACCCGCCCCATCCGCAAGCGCATTAAAATAAATTACACGTACGGCCAGCGCGTAGATAACCCCCCGCGAAGACAGAGCCAGTGTTTTTCTTTCTCGCTTCCTCTCACTCTCACTCGTCGTCGTTGACGCCTCGCTCTCACTCTATCTCTCCGTGGCCGAGGCTTCCTCTATTTGCAGAGAGTTATGTGGGAAAGTTCAAGCGCGCTATTGAACTGAGAATCCCAAAAGGGAGAGCACAGAGAGCGAGAGCTCCGATGTTTTTATTTCGGCCAAAAATTTATTAAAGAGCCGTAAACATGACGAAGAGAGAGAGAGAGAGAGCGAGCGAGATGAACGAACGGGTCGACTTTCGGATCTTCTTCGTGGTCTACCTTCCTCCTCTCTACTATATCTTATACCTGTAAAATGTCGGGTAGCGCTCATATTTTTTCAGCGATTCTCCGGTCTCGTTGTAGCGCACCATCATTTTTAGGAAGTATTTCTCTAGATCGTCGTGATTTGCCGCCCAACGGTTCTTCAGCAGTTGGAACCACTCGTTATTCGTGTAAATCTCCTCTGCAATAACAATTCACGCCATATGAAAATACTTACGTTATACCGTTTATTCAATTGTTAGCTATAGACGCGATTTTTTTTTCATTTTGACAGCTTAAACGAGGGGTTAGTCAATTATGTACGTTACACAAAAATGTATAATTTACCTGAAGAGTTTAATCTGGCTAGATCTTCGACTTTCAATTTGAGCGCGTTACGCTCCTCCTTGTAGGCGTAGGGCGCGAAATACGTGCGGTTGGTAAACTTATTACGATCCCAATAAATTCCTGCTGACCACATCCTCGAGTTGCCAAAGAGCAGAGCTACAACTTCAGCTAACATTTGATCCTCGTTCAATGGTTTATCGGCAACACGTTTGCCCGAGTACACTTCCTCGGGGTCGGACACTTGCAAAAAGGCGCTGATAAAGTTAGCTAGACGGACGGCCATTTTCGCCTCGTTCTCGTAAAATTCATCTGCTCCAAAACCAATGTCACCAGGTAGTTTAAGTTGCTCTTTCGTAAAACTGAATCGACATCAAAGTTAATAATGAGTTGGTTTTAAAAAATCAACAAATGTATTTAACGTACTTGTTGCAATTTTTTTCGTGTACGTGACCAATGAAGCCCAACACTTGATGAATGTTCATTTTGCTAGTGTGTAGCGAGCCGGGTCCAGAGGTGAAGTTCCTGTATTCGTAATACTCCTCGAGATACTTTTCCCTCCTGACGGGCGTCGCCTTTGTTAACTCTACAGGTCTTTTTTGAATCCCTAAAACGTCCGAGATAAAATCATTATATTTCAATTACAATCATAGGATTAGAGGAGTGAAGCGTAAAAGATAGTATTTACAGCCAATCTTTGAGCAATCGAATCCGTTATAATATTGCTCGGGAGATGCTCGCTCGATGATTTCACCAAGATAGGGTGCTCTTACCGTGAAAGGTAATCGCCAGCCTGGCTTGCATCTGCACATGTAGCCACCTCTCCTGAATCCCCAACCGTGCAGCGGCTCGCACTGTCAATTTATAATCAACGTTATAATGCAGTGTTTGCAAGAGATTCGTTTCGTCAATTAATTTTGATTAGACTTTTATGTTTGTGCAGTTCACCAAATAATCCATGCATGCTTGGATTAGAAGATGACGAAAAAAAGATTTATTAATGACTTTGTTGGACACAAGAAAGTTAAATGAATTACCTCGGTAGTCTCGCGCTTACATCTAGCTGTATTAGCAAATTTGTTAGGTCCCCTGTTTCCTTCACCTCGAGGACATTGATTAATATCTATCCTGTCAAAGTCCATTTCCATAACTGAAACAGCTGTGTACCTAAAATTTACATAAATGCAATCATTACTATCAATTATTAAAATGAATCTTATAAATTATTCTCATTAAACTAATTTTGTGTTAAAAGTAAAATTAATTTTTTCGAGATATTTCAATTAAAACTAGAAAGATATTAAGAAGTGTGCGTTCAAGTGGAAATATAGTAACAGTTAACGTAGGAAAATTATGACTTAATATTTTTATTACGGTAGCTAGTCTATGGGAAAGAGACTTTTATCATTAGTAAAAGACCACCTAAGATCATCTAAAAAGTCTAGATTTTTGAAATTTGACTACAGGTCTTTTTTAATCCTTTAAGTGCTTTAATCCCATCGTCCCATAGTATTTCACACGTGTGAGCAACATGAAAGGACTATCTTGCTTGACCAGTACAGATAGGATACACACCCTCTTTGAAGGACACAAAGGGGGTTGCGAATAAATTATAATAATAATGAGCGAGCAATCTTCCCCTAGCATCTATCTGTGCATTCTGTGCACAATGCAATTTTTGAAACATATTGGGACTCAATGCATGCAAACAGTTGCATCGCTGCATCAGCTGCTGGTTTACTTGGAGAAAAATCTTACCTGGGAATTTCAATGTGTCTAAAACTAGTGTAACGAGGGTACAAATCTACAATTGGAACAACTGCTGCGAAAAGCCAACGGTTTGAACGTCCACAATCAAAATAGGGTCTTATCCACTTTACTGGACCATCCTCCTCGTGAGCACCTGAAATACAAGTTTATTAAAAAAAAATAAAATTTTTCTCTCTTTTCACATTTATCACAATTAGCATACCTCTGGGACCATGGAACGTGTGAGTAATATTTGTATTGTTTGCATATCTAATTTCTACTTGGTACGTTATCTTGGTGTCATGTCTCTTTGGATCATCTGGCAGCCACTTCTTGTACCTGTAAAAATTGGAAACCATTAAAACCAGTTTTTCGTATTGCATACAAAATTGCATTATATCAATTGTGATAATAACTTGAGCTCCCATTGATTTACCATTCATTTATTCTATAGTAGTCTGTTGTATAATCCTTGCTGAGTTGGTTAGCAGGAAATGCACCCAGATCCTGAACTGAAAATGTATTTCTAGTAGATATTCTTTCAAGATGCACAGGATCATTGAAATCATCAAGCCTGTATGTTCTAGGAGCAAATCTAGGCATGGTCTTGTTAAAGAATCCTCTATAGGAAGATGTAAACGACATATTGGGAGCAAAATAGATTGCTGAAGCATTGATGTGCGGATTGGCAGATACATCAGCCACAGTAGATAGGAAGTAATACATCATTCCAGGATCATAGGTGTCATTAATGGGTGGCTTGTAATTCCTCGACTGAAGAATATAACTCCAATAGAAACTTCTAGTCAGAGCCATGTTGTGCAGGTGCAGCAGTGCTGTCCTATTCGGAAAAATAGGATTGATGTTGATCTCCTTGATGTCGGGCAGGTGTGAAACAGTGTCAGGATCCAGGTAGAGGTCGTCAAGGCGCTGGATCTGACAATTGTCCACGTTAATTTTGTCAAGCTTGTATCGAACTTCATCAAAAGCATCTCGCGATTGCCAATTTGGAGGTCCATCATCGCTTTTATAAATATCTTCGTCGTTGTAACTTTGGGACCAGACTACGCCCAAAACCAACAGGTAGCAGGCGACTAATACCGCTGCCATGCGCGTCATTGCCTCTTTTTCACGTTAACACTAAAAACCACAAATAAGTTCTTGTCTCAATGCAGTTGCATTGTAATTTCCTTGACGGGAATGCACTAAATAATGAATTGTTCTTTCAAGCGACCAAAAGAAACGAATTTAACGTTGATGGTAAAACCCGATGATTTGTTGTGAGCGAGGCAACCGCCGCCCAAACGTCCGATTACACGCCGCGCATGCAGTGAGTAAGCGCACTAGTGAGCAAGAGAGACGAAACGAGAGAGTGGGAGAGAGAAACAAACACGCCCATGGAGAGGAATTTTAAGTTTGTCGCACATTGCATCGACTACATGTACTGTATACACGCTACCACGACAAATCGTGTGCTGATGAATTGATATCGATGATTAAGTTAATAAAACTTATTTTAAATAATGCAATTTAGTTTAGTTTACTTCGTTTTGGAGGCTTGAACTGTTACTAATTAGTTTTGCATTTAGCAATAAGCAACGCTTTGATCTCGTTTTGTTGATCTATCGTGAATGCGGTATTATAATCTAGATTCTACATAATGAACTTGCTCATCTTTTATGAAAATTTTGGAGCTGTAAACTGTATTTATAGCACATGAAAAATAAACAGGTTGACGGTGAATTTTTAATTTAAAATGATGATTAAATTAAAATTATACAGAGAATTATGAAGCTTCAGAATTTGTTTAAACAAATTGGAGCATTAGCTATTATTTTTACAATATTTCTAATTCTAGAAAAATGTAACAATTAATAATTATTGTTGAATATTTTCTACACTTGTACATGTCTCACGTTTTTTCTTGGAATCGGTCTGTTTTCATTTCACGACTGTCTGCTATAAATAGGTCAATCGAATTGATCTAATGAATAGCATCGTCTGCGTTTTCAGTAAAAACTTCAATTGCACGCAATAACCAAACGCTATACTTCTGTTGTAAAAGTCTTAGATGCAAGTAAAAATCGTCGCTAAACAAGCGTGAACGACCAAGAAGAAACAAAAAAAATCAACAGTGATCGTGCCCCTTGAACGATGACTAACTGTAATGTTGCCGAGCTCAAAAGAAAAACTTGAATGTTCAGTAGAAACAGACAATTTGGTACGACAGAGTTCCAAGTGACCGTTACGTCGGTGTTGATTGTCGAACGTTGTGAGCGTGGCTTGAGTTCAGAAAGAGAGAGAGAGAGAGAGGGCGTCTGGTGCTTGGCGTTGGCACCAGTGACGTCACGAAAGCGAGCGAACGAGCGAAAAGAGAGAGCGGGAGCGCTCTTCGCCTCCCGCGCGCGCGTCTATCGCGAGTCGGGAGAGCGAGCGCGAGCGACAGAGACAGACAGACAAAGGCTGCCGAGGAGAGTTCGCGGCGCGTTGTCGACCGACCAGCCTGAGCCAGCCTATTACATTTCCCTTGGGAGAGAAGCATGGAAATCATCGCAATTTGTGCCTATTGAACTTCACGCAACATATACGAGAGCTTCCGTACAATCTAAGTCAATACCTTCAGTTTTTTTTGTTTCTCTCTCGTCGGTTTCTTATCGACCACCAGCAGTTTTTTTCGTGCAGAATCGACTAATATAACTTGCCTCGCAGAGCCGCCACACACGCACACATCCATATATCTATACCTCGCCCCGAACGCCGTACATTCACCTACGCAAGGACTTTTTTGCCGATCGACAGAGCGAGATCGACTTGGGCTTCTGCGGAGCTTTTCTCAGGTATTTTCTTTATTATTAATTCGTTAATCGTTGATGTAAGCCTTGATTCCAATGAAAAAATCGACGCAAGGGATCGGTGGTGGGGATTTGTAGAATTTACGTGGAGGACTCGGCGATTTCGCATTTTGCAAAAAATGAGGTTAAGTTTCGCGAATGCAGACTTGAGTGAGCGAGAGAAAGAGGCGAACGAACGAAGGCAGAAAGAGAGACAGAGAGGAGCGCCATCCGGATAGGTTATAATTTCCGCCCGCGGATGTTACCCATTGGCGCTGCCGAGCGAATTTTTGCACGAACGCACTTTGGTGTGGTGTGCAAGCGTTGCTGCTGCTGCTTTTTTCGCGAACGGAAATCGTCGCTGCTGCTGCTGCAGCTCTGATGGTAATGATTCGCTGTTGCACTGCCTGCTGCTGCATTTTCGATGCCGATTTCGTTTCTCTTTCTCTTTTTTTTTCGTCTGCCTGGTATTTTGGAGCAATTTTTTTTAAGTGCGTGGTAGGAGGGGAAACCAAGAAGGCATGTGATTTTTTTTCGGCTTTCGTTGGTGTATTTTGAGTGGTCGGCATCGAAGAACGACATTCTTTTGCGCGTTACATGTGTGCGTTTTAGCAAATTTACTGAACTGAGCGTTAGTGGTTGAGGTGTATAAATTATACATATATTGATAAAGATTCCAGACGAGACAGAGCGAGAGAGCGAGAGAGCGAAAGAGCGCGAGAGCGCGAGAGAGAGAGAGAGAGAGAGAGAGAGAGAGAGAGGAGAGAGAGAGAGAGAGACGTTATATGTGCATTTTGTGCAACGTGGATTGTGATAATATTGCGTCGAAAGTAACGTAGAAGCGCAAGCGATTGAGAGGGAAAATGGAAAAACCTACAAGTAGTAAAGATTGGCCATTAAATTTCAGTGGAAAAAAGACGTTACACGCCTACACGTGGCTGTAGCCATAGCGCGACACTCGTATGTATACTCCTACTTTCTTCGTATTGGAAAAGACATGCAATCGCGTGGCGTTCGAATAAATGTGCGCATCCAAGCAAGCCACTGATGAATAAAATAATCGTCGCAAAAGTGGCGTCGCGGATTACGTAGCACTGGGCGCAGTGCAGCGAGGAGAGACCGACGCGCGCACGAACGTTATCGCACTGGTAAAAGTCAGCAGCAACAGCCTCAGCGGTAGATTTGTCGAGTTGTCAAATTCTCTCATCGGTAATCTATTCGTCTCGTACTTATAGAACACACTCGGCTCTCTCGCAAAGCCGTATCAAAACTTTAATGCATCACCAAAGGGAAACAATTTGCCCTTTTATTTCCCATCTAAATGTCAATTCGCTCGCCGGAAGAGCACACGACTGACACTCTCGCGCGGCAACCACTGGGCATTCTTGGGACCGAGCACGAAAGAAGAGTGCTAAACAGAGCTTTTTGCGTTGTTTTTTGCTTGTCCGTTTCCTAAACTTTCTCGAATTCCCAGAGAGGTGAAAAAAAAGCGCAGTTGTTCCCGCAAAAAAATTGAAGAAGCTTGGCGCAGAAAGAGTTGCATATATCCATTTTTGTTCATCCTTGACCGCAATATCCTCGAAGGTTCTCTGTCTTTCGCGTGCGCTCTCTCTCTCTCTCTCTCTCTTTCTATCTCTATCTCCCCCCCCCCCTCTCTCACTCTCTCTCTCTCTCCCTCTCTCTCTTTCTCTGTCTTTCGTTTTCTCTCGTCTCTCGCTTTTTTTTTCGTGTTCGGTTTTTACGCGAAACGCGTACGCCGCACATAGCTCTGTGTCTTTCTACCAGATACATATTCCCATCGTGAGTGTGACTTAATAGGACATAACATCGCGGCCCGGACCCATTATCATGCAAATGCGAGGCGAGAGAGCGAGCGCCCCCTCGACTCGGCAGCGCGCGCGCGCGCGCGCGATGACCCCCCTGGCAGTGGACGACACTACCTCCCTATAGCGCAAGGCCCCGTTTAATCGAGGAAATTGAGGAGAGCGAGCGAGCGAGAGAGAGAGAGAGAGAGAGAGGAGAGAGAGAGAGAGAGAGAGAGAGAGAGGACGCCGAGAGCGAGCCGATGCGCTTTTCGACGCGCTTACAACCCGACGACGATTCGAGTGTCAAAGTAAACCTACTCGCCCCTAATCACGCGTAGCGTCCTTTGTTCGGCCGAGCCTGCTCGCCGCATAAGCACACGTCGCTTCTTTTGCCTGCTGACTGGTGTGCTCGCCTCTCGGCGAGTATCGATCGACCGATGATGCTTTTGTCTGCCTGCGCGTTCACTCCCGGTTGCCGGCGCTCCTCGCGATCGACGCCTAATTGCCCTGGCCGTTCGCCGCGCGGCGCGCGCTCGCTCGCTCGCTCGCTCGGCAGGCCCAACGTCTTTTCGCGTTCGTGTCGCGCCTGCTATTCGCGGATTCGCTCGCTCGCTCCGGTCCTCATTTTCTCGCGTTGCGCTTTACCTTCCGATTGACAATGAACAAGAGGATGAGAGGTTGCTTTTTGTCGACAATCAAATTTCATTTGTTAATTTCATTGGAAAGACATTCACTAGTCGACTGCAAGGTTCTTTTCCGTTCTTTGTGCAATCTCTGGCTGCTCGTCCGACCAAATGGTCAAAATTGACAACAAACCGACTATTTGCTTCCGGCAGTTTCGCAGTCGTTCAATCTAAATTGGTAAAAAAACCGATTTTCAAATGATAATTACGAAGAGTCAAACAGAACAAGGACTAACCGCAAAAGAACTCAATAAATTATTTTTGCCAAAAAGTGGGATGCTCGAAGTAGATAAACTGTATAGTTCAACGAGGTATACTAAGATCAAGTCAACAGATGCAACCGATGTCTGTCAACGATTAATCTAATCAACGTAAACATTCGATAAGAATTATCTTCGGACTCTTTTTTTTCCGAATCCAAAAGAGAATGTAATCGATCGTCAGACATTCATGCCGATCGGTTCTATCGCAGAGCGAGCAGGCGCATCGCCGTAAATCTTGGATTTTATCAAATCTCGAAAGAGCTGCGTTCATCCGTCGCAGGATCATTAAAACAAAAAACCAACTGCACTCTTGTGGCGAAATAAGAGCGAGAGGGAGAGAGAGGCGCATGTGCATTTGGATAATATAAGCGGTAGCAGGTGCGGCCTAGCGCTTCGGCCGCGAGAGTCGACGAAGCAAGCTGCAACGGCCCTTTTTCCCGTGCACTCTTTCTCTCTATCTGCACAGGAAGTAATCTTTTCTTTGTCCTCCCCCCCACCCCTCTCGCTCACTCTCTCTCTCTCTCTCTCGATGCAAGTTGCGTCAATCCGCACCGATAAAAATTTCATTGCAAATCTCCAATTTCCTCGGGGCTGGCTAAAAACAAAGAAATGGCAGAAGAAGGGAAAAGAGCGAGACTTCTCCCCTGCGCAAAAATCCGCAACAAGTTGAGAGAGAGGGGGGAGAGAGAGAGAGAGAGAGAGAGAGAGAGAGAGAGAGAGAGAGAGAGAGAGAGAGAGAGAGAGAGAGACCGGGTGTTCGAGCGTTGCACAGATGTCGCGCGCACATTTTGGGGAGGAGGAGTGCGCGCGCTCGCTACGGGCGCACGTGGACCCGCGAGCCGAGCGAACACGTGTGGTGCGCCCGTGCAAGCGGCAGTCGGGCTAAAGCGCTGCAAGGCAAAACAAGGCTTCGGCCTTCTCATGTTAGGTACACCAACTCTCTCTCTCTCTCTCTCTCTCTCTCTCTCTCTCTCTCTCTCTCTCTCTCTCTCTCTCTCTCTCTCTCTCTCACACTCA